TATTGAAAAACAGTACGGGGATTAATTTATTTAAAATTACTGGTATTATTGACAAACCCTTCTGGTTTTATTGGTAAAAGTAAAGGGAATTTTTAGTAACAGAGCACTGGTATTTAATTTTGGGAAAAGAAAGATTATTGAAACAGTTCTGGTAATTTTTGGTAACAGTAAATGGAAAAATTTTTATAACAGTACTGGTATTAAATTTATAACCTTACTGGAAAATTTTGGGAAACAGAAATGGTATTATTTTTAAAAGGCCTGGGATTTTTTGGAAAAAAAAGAAAAAAATGGTTTTTTGATAACCAAAAACTTATATTATTGAAACAGAAATGGTAAATTTTTGATAAATTAAAGGAAAAAATTTTTATAACAGGAAATGGGATTATTGATTTAAAATACTTGGGAATTTTTTTGGTAACCCGTACTGGTATTAAAAGTAAAAGGCCCCTGGGATTTTTTGGTAACCCGAGCTGGTATTTTTGATAAAATACTGGATTATTGATAACAGTTCTGGGTTTTTTTAGTAAAAAAGAGTACTGGGATTTAAAGGAAAAAGATACTGGGTTTTTTGGGAAAAATAAAAAGGGATTATTGTAACCGTACTGGTATTTTTGAAAAAATTTTCTGGGATTATTGGTTACAGTACTGGTATTATTGATTAAACAGTACTGGGAAATTTTTGTTTTCCCCGTCCCGGTATTTTTGATAACAGTACTGGGGATTATTGGTAACAGTACTGGTATTATTAGTAAAAAAGAGTCCCGGTAAATTTTTGGAACAAATGGTAAAATTTTATAAAAAGTACTGGTATTATTTAAACAGAAATGGGTTTATTGATTAAAAGACTGGTATTATTTATAACATTTGGTTTTTTGATAACTAATGGTATTATTGTAAAAAAATACTGGTATTATTGATAACAGTACTGGTTTTTTTGATAACAGTATGGTTTTTTTTGATAACAGTACTGGTTTTTATTGATAAAAATTTCGGGGTTTAAATTTTTTTCTATTTAAAAAAAAAAAAAAAAAAATTTTTTTTTTTTAAATTTATTTAAAATTTTTTAATTTTTTTTATTTATTTTTTTTCAAATTTATTTAAATTTTGATAAAAAAAAGTTTGGTTAAATTTTTGATTTAAAAGAAATGGTATTATTGATAACAGTACTGGTATTATTAAAAAAACCCTTCGGTTTTTAATTTTTCAACCCCTATGGGGAAAAAAATTAAAAGTTTTTATTAGATTCGTTGGAAAAAAATAAAAAAATTTTTAAGGGGTAATTTTAATGCCAAAAACCGGAAAATTTTAAAAGGGATTAAGGGAAAAGGGGGGAAAAAAATTAAAGAAATTCTTAAAAAAACCAGGAAACAATAAGGGAAAAAAACGGTTTTAAAAAGGGTGTTTCAATTAAATTTTGAATAAAAAATAACCAGGGAACAAAGAGGGAAAAAACTGAAAAAAAGTTTAATTTTAAAATTTTCTGGTTTAAATTTTATTTTAAAAAAAAATGTGGGGAGAAACCCCAAAGGAGGGAAAAGCAAAACGCCAGTGGACCCCGAAAACCGGTTTTAAGAACCAGAGTTTGAAAGAAACCAAAGGAAATGTGAGGCAACAAAAACACCGGAAAGTGAGGCAGCACACAAACCCGGGAGGTTAAGGGGAGCAACACACCCCGGGAATTTAGGCGGGGAAAAACACCGGCAATGTGAGGCACAACACACCGGCGAGTGTGAGGCAGGGAAAAAACACCGGCAGTGTGAGGAGCAACACAACCCGGGAGTGGGGAAAGGGAGCAACACACCCGGGGGGAGTGGAGGCACAACACAAACCCCAGTGGAAACAGCCCAAAACACCGGGGAGGGGGTGAGGGCCCGCAAACTCGGCAAGGGGGGAGGCAGCAACCCACCGGCAATGTGAGGCAAAACAACACACCCGGGATTTTGGGGGCAGAAAAACACCCGGGAGTGTGAGGCCCGCAAACAAAACCCGGGATGTGAGGGGAGCAAAACACCGGGGATGTGAGGCACAAAAAACACCGTCAAAGTTAGGCAGCAACACAAGGCAATGTTAGGGCAGCAACACAACCCCAATGTGGGGGGGCAACACCCGGCCCTGTGAGGCAGCAACACCCGGGAGTGTGGGGGCCCGCCACACCGGCAAAGTGAGCAAACAACACACCGCAATGTGAGGCGCAAAAAACCGTCAATGTTAAAAGGCACAACACACCGTCAATGTGAGGGAGCAAACACCGGCATGTTTAGGGCCCGCAACACCCGCAATGTGTGGGAGCAAAACACCGGCAAGTGGGTTTAAAATTTCCCGGGGGAGCAAACCAAACCGTCCCAAAGTGAGGGAGCAAAAACCCCCGGGAATGTGAGGGGCAACACACCGGCAATGTTAGGCAAGCAAAACACCGGGAAGTGAGGCCCGCAACCCACCGTCAATGTGGGGGAACACACACCGCATTTTGGGCCGCAACACAAAACCCTCAATGTGGAAAGGGAGCAAAACACCGTCAATGTTTAGGCGCAACACAACCCGGGCCCCCCAAAGTGAGGGGCAAAAACCCGGCAGTGTGAGGCCGCAACACACCGCAATGTGAGCGGGAACACACCGGGGATGGGAGGGGCAACAAACCCCCAATTTTGAGGGAAACAACAAAAAGTCCCAAAGTGAGGGGGGCCCAAAACCCCCCGTCAATTTTGAGGCAGCAACAAAACCCTCCCAAAGGGGGGCACAAAACACCCCAATGTGAGGCAGCAAAAAACCGGCAATGTGAGGCCGCAACACCGGGGGTGAGGCAGCAACACACCGTCAATGTGAGGGGAGCCAAAAACCCCCGGCAAGTGTGAGGGGGAGCAACACACCGGCAATGTGGGCAGCAACACACCGTCAAAATTTTAGGCCCGGGAACACACCGGCAATGTGAAGGGGAGCAACCCCACCGGCAATTTTAGGGAGCCCCCACCGGCAATGTGAGGGAGCCAAAAAAACCGGCTGTGAGGCAGCAAAACCGGCCCTGTTTAGGCAGCAACACACCGTCAATGTGGGCCGCAACCCCACCGTCAATGTGAGGGGCAACACACCGGCAATGTGAAAGGGAGCCCAAAACCCCCGGCATTTGAGGCAGCAAAACACCGGCAATGTGAGGCAAACAACACACCCCAGGTGTGGGAGCAAAACAACGTCAATGTGAAACAGCAACACACCGTCAATGGGGGAGGCCGCCAACCCCCCCCGTCAATTTAGGGGGGCAACACACCCGGGAATGGGGAAGGGGGGCAAAAACACCGGCAGGTGAGGAAACAACACAAACCCCAAAAAAGAGGCAGCAACCAACCGGCATTTTGAGGCGGAAAACACCGGGGGAAAAATGAGGGCAACACACCCCAATGTGAGGCGAAAACACCGGGCAATTTTGAGGCAGCAACACCGGAATGTGAGGCGCAACCACCGGCCTTGTGAGGGGGCCCAAAACACCGGCAAAGTGAGGCAGCAAAACACCGGCAATTTAGGCACCAACACACCCGGGAATGTGAAAGGGGCAAAACACCCCAATGTTTATGCAAACACAACCGTTCCCTTTGAGGCAAACAAACACCGTTAATGTGAGGCGCAACACACCGGCAATGTGAGGCTTTCCAAAAACCGGCCAATTGGGGCAACCAACACCGGCAATGTGAGGGCAACCCAAAAAACCGGGAGTGTGAGGGAGCAACAAACCCCCCCAAAGTGAGGGAGCAACACACCCGGGAAGTGTGAAAGGGAGCCAAACACCGTCAATGGGGAAGGGACAACACACCGGCAATGTGAGGGGGCAACACCCGGCAATTTTTAGGCAGCAAAAAACACCGGGAAAGTGAGGAGCAACACACCGGCAATGTAGGGGGGAAACAACACAAAAACCCTTTAATGTTTTAGGGAGGCAACACCCGGCAGTGTGGAGGAGGCCCCCCACACCGGCAATGTGAACAGAAAAAACCCCCGGCAGTTTGAGGCAGCAAAAAAACCGGGAATGTTTTAGGCAGCAACAAACCGGGAGTGTAGGGGAGCAAAAACCCCGGCAATGTGGGGGCAGCAAACACCGTCAATGTAGGCAGAACAAAACCGGCGTGTGAGGGAGCAACACACCGGGGAATGTGAGGGGAGCAACACACCGGCAAAATGTGAGGGCAGAAAAACGGCATTTGGGGACAAACCCTTGGAGGTGACAATTTTAAGGCAAGGGGGTAAGGGAGAATCAAATTAAAAATTTAGGCGAAAAACACCCCTTAACAAAAACAAAGGAATATCAAAAAAAGGGATGCAGTGTTTTTGTTTTTGGGAGAGTAAAAAAATTGAAAATTTTTCCCCCCGGGGAAAAAATTTTTTAAAAAAAAAACCCCCCAAAAAAAAAAAAAAAAAAAAAAGAAAAAAAAAAAATTTTAAAAAAAAGGGGTTTTAAAAAAAAAATTTTTTTAAAAAATTTTTTAAAAGGGGGTTTTTTTAAATTTTTTTGGGGGAAAAAAAAAATTTAAAATTGAAAATTTTTAAAAAAACCCCCCCCCCCCGGGGGGGAAAAAAAAAAAATTTTAAAAAAAACCCCCCCCAAAAAAATTTTTTTTTTTTTAAAAAAAAAAAAAATTTTTTTTTATAAATTTAAAGGGCCCGGGGGTTTTGGGGGGGAAAAAAAACCCCCCTTTTTTTTAAAATTTTAAAAGGGAAAAAAATTTTAAAAAAACCCCTTTTTTTAAAAAGGGGAAAAAATTTTTTTTTAAAAAAAAAAAAAAAACCTTTTTAAAAAATTTTTTTTAAAATTTTTTTAAAAAAAAAAGGGAAATGGAAAATTTTTTTTTAATTTTTTGGGGAAAATTTTTTTTTTGGGGAAAAAAAAAAAGGGTTTTTTTTGGGTTTTTTAAAAAAATTTTTTTTAAAATTTTTTTTAAATTCTATTTTTAGAACCCCAACAGACACCAGATGTGGGAGATATCGGAGTAAAGAAAATTAATACTCACCACTGTAATAAGGTTGAAGTCGACCTTGTCGATGGTGTCTGGTATGGTGTATCTACTTGTGTAGCGTCGCCAGCACCAGCACACAGCCCCTCCCAGTATTGTTCCCACCAGCATTACAACTATCGAAGTCACTAACAAGTTGACGTCCGTCTCCAGTAAGTCGTCCTGAGAAAGTCAACAAGTAGACAGATGTATCAAGCTTACCCAGTTCATTATTGCTTTAATTTTTTAATACTGTGTATAAACCCCACACACACACTGGTACATATTGTTACGCCCATCAACTTCCACATTACTTTGAGCCGATATCATTTAAATATGTCTTTTTGGAAACTTCTTATTAATGCTAAAATAAGCAAGTCCGACTGTAATAATATTATCTGGGGCCTCATATGAGTTACCAAATGGAATCACGAAAATTTATATACATAGAAATAATTTAGGTTAGGTGGGGACAGTGCGATATGGGAACCCACTTGGTAACAGCCAGTTACTGGCTAACAACCTCGCCCACTACAGTCAGTAGTAGCCGATCTACAGCTCAAGGTGCATTGCTTGGAAGGTCCTCTGTTGTGACAGAGCCGTATATAAGGTGCTCGTGGGGGGACTTATCTGTACATTTATATCCCATGTCAACAAACTGATATATTCCCCGGGTGATCTGAAAAACCTCCGGGTAATAACTAGTAACTTTGTGTGATTGGGAAGTGAAAGTTTAAAGGTCCTGTACATAGTTCTCTGTAAATAATTTACACACTTTAAGATCCAGAGAAAAGCTTAATATTTTGTTATTGATATGTTCTTAGGAACAATATATTAAAGGCTATCAATTTTTACCTTCTGATTTTTTTACTTTCTTTGAAAAGTAGTTAGAAATTAATCACTTATTGTACATCGACATCCTGTTTCAGTTAGGAGCATAAGCAGACAATAATATATAATACATTTTATCGTGCAAATAGGTAAACTTACAAAGCTCTTCCTGTCGAATAAGGCGAACAAAAATTTGTGTATTCAATAATTTCACAAAAATCATTCTGAACCTAACGAAAAAAATACATATTTTATTGTTTATTATTAAAAATAAATATTAAAATTATATATTTTCAGATAGAGGCTCATTTTTTAAGTACATAGATACAGTCGAGTGATAGTGAGGCGGAGGAAAGGCGATTCTCTTCAGAAGGGACACATTCAATAACCGCCAAAATACCCACCTAAGATGTATTGGTTTAGTTTCACTGCTGAGGCCCTGGATGACTGCTCATTGTTGAGGGAACGATGAACAGTGACAAGTACAAGGCAATCCTGGCAACTCATTGTGGATAAAGACTTTCCTAATGAAGAAAACATTGTCTAGCAGGATCTTGTTCCTTACCACACTTCCAGAGAAGTGATAACACTCTTCGAAGTGACTGGACTAAACGTTCTAAACTGGTCTGGAAACCCTCCTGACCTCAACTCAGTTGAGAATCTACGAGCAATAAGCAAACCCAGGATCACGAAACAGGACTGTTCAGCTGTGGAGAAACTGATTGCTGTTATTAGGACTGGTGCCTCGACGAAGAACCTGCCAAATGTGGGTTAAAACATTGGTCGCTTCTATGCCAGTGTGAAGCAATGGTTTATAAAAAAAGGTTAGTCACCACTTGGGACGTGTTAGCACTAGCACGTCACCACATGGGACGTGTTAGCACTAGCACGTCACCACATGGGACGTGTTAGCATAGCACGTCACCACAATGGGACGTGTTAGCACTAGCACGTCACCACATGCGACGTGTTAGCACTAGCACGTCACCACATGGGACGTGTTAGCACTAGCACGTCACCACATGGGACGTGTTAGCACTAGCACGTCACCACATGGGAGTGTTGCACTAGCACGTCACCACATTGAACGTGTTTACACTAGCACGTCCCACATTTAACGTGTTAGCACTAGCACTTCACCACATGGGGCGTGTTAGCACTAGCACGTCACCACATAGGACGTGTTAGCACTAGCACTTCACCACATGGGACGTGTTAGCACTAGCACTTCACCACATGGAACGTGTTAGCACTAGCACTTCACATGGGACGTGCTAGCACTAGCACGTCACCACATGGGACGTGTTAGCACTTAGCACGTCACCACATGGACGTGTTAGCACTAGCACTTCACATGGGGCGTGCTAGCACTAGCACGTCACCACAAGGGACGTGTTAGCTCTAGCACGTCACCACATGGAACGTGTTAGCACTAGCACGGGCACCACATGGAACGTGTTAGCACTAGCACTTCACCACATGGGACGTGTTAGCACTAGCACGTCACCACATAGGACGTGTTAGCACTACACGTCACCACATGGAACGTGTTAGCACTAGCAAAGTCACCACATGGGACGTGTTAGCACTAGCACGTCACCACAAGGGACGTGTTAGCACTAGCACGTTCACCACATGGGACGTGTAGCACTAGCACGTCACCACATGGGACGTGTTAGCACTAGCACGTCACCCATGGGAACGTGTTAGCACTAGCACGTCACCACTTTGGGGCGTGTTAAACACTAGCACTTACCACATGGGACGTGTTAGCCTAGCACGTCACCACATGGGACGTGTTAGCACTAGCACGTCACCACATGGGACGTGCTAGCACTAGCACTTCACATGGGACGTGTTAGCACTAGCACGTCACCACATGGGACGTGTTAGCACTAGCACGTCAGCACGTGGAACGTGTTAGCACTAGCACGTCACCACATGGAACGTGTTAGCACTAGCACGTCACCACATGGAACGTGTTAGCACTAGCACTTCACCACATGGGACGTGTTAGCACTAGCACGTCACCACATAGGACGTGTTAGCACTAGCACGTCACCACATGAGACGTGTTAGCACTAGCACGTCACCACATGAGACGTCTCAGCACTAGCACGTCACCACATGGGACGTGGTAGCGCTAACACGTCACCACATGGAAGGTGTTAGCGCCAGCACGTCACCACATGGGACGTGTTAGCACTAGCACGTCACCACATGGGACGTGTTAGCACAAGCACGTCACCACATGGGACGTGTTCACTAGCACGTCACCACATGGAACGTGTTAGCACTAGCACTTCACATGGGACGTGTTAGCACTAGCACGTCACCACATGGGACGTGTTAGCACTAGCACGTCACCACATGGAACGTGTTAGCACTAGCACGTCACCACATGGGACGTGTTAACACTAGCACGTCACCACATGGGATGTTAGCACTAACACGTCACAACATGGGACGTGTTAGCACTAGCACGTCGCCACATGGGACGTGTTAGCACTAGCACGTCACCACATGGGACGTGTTAGCACTAGCACGTCACCACATATGACGTGTTAACACTAGCACGTCACCACATGGGACGTGTTAGCACTAGCACGTCACCACATGGGACGTGTTAGCACTAGCACGTCACCACATGGGACGTGTTAGCAGTAGCACGTCACCACATGGGACGTCTTAGCACTAGCACTTCACCACATGGGACGTGTTAGCACTAGCACGTCACCACTTGGGACGTGTTAACACTAGCACGTCACCACATGGGACGTGTTAGCACTAACACGTCACAACATGGGACGTGTTAGCGCCAGCACGTCACCCCATGAGACGTGTTAGCACTAGCACGTCACCACATGAGACGTGTTAGCACTAGCACGTCACCACATGAGACGTGTCAGCACTAGCACGTCACCACATGGGACGTGGTAGCGCTAACACGAAAACCATATGGAAGGTGTTAGCGCCAGCACGTCACCACATGGGACGTGTTAGTACTAACACGTCACAACTTGGGAAGTGTGTTAGCACTAGCACGTCACCACATGGGACGTGTTAGCACTAGCACGTCACAACATGAGACGTGTTAGCACTAGCACGTCACCACATGAGACGTGTTAGCACTAGCACGTCACCACAGGGGACGTGTTAGCAGTAGCACGTCGCCACATGGGACGTGTTAGCACTAGCACGTCACCACATGGGACGTGTTAGCACTAGCACGTCACCACATATGACGTGTTAACACTAGCACGTCACCACATGGGACGTGTTAGCACTAGCACGTCACCACATGGGACGTGTTAGCACTAGCACGTCACCACATGGGACGTGTTAGCAGTAGCACGTCACCACATGGGACGTGTTAGCACTAGCACTTCACCACATGGGACGTGTTAGCACTAGCACGTCACCACTTGGGACGTGTTAACACTAGCACGTCACCACATGGGACGTTTTTAGCACTAACACGTCACAACATGGGACGTGTTAGCGCCAGCACGTCACCCCATGAGACGTGTTAGCACTAGCACGTCACCACATGAGACGTGTTAGCACTAGCACGTCACCACATGAGACGTGTCAGCACTAGCACGTCACCACATGGGACGTGGTAGCGCTAACACGTAACCATATGGAAGGTGTTAGCGCCAGCACGTCACCACATGGGACGTGTTAGTACTAACACGTCACAACTTGGGAAGTGTTAGCACTAGCACGTCACCACATGGGACGTGTTAGCACTAGCACGTCACAACATGAGACGTGTTAGCACTAGCACGTCACCACATGAGACGTGTTAGCACTAGCACGTCACCACATGGGACGTGTTAACACTAGCACGTCACCACATGGGACGTGTTAGCACTAACACGTCACAACATGGGACGTGTTAGCACTAGCACGTCACCACATGGAACGTGTTAGCACTAGCGCGTCACATGGAACGTGTTAGCGCCAGCACGTCACCACATGGAACGTGTTAGCACTAGCACGTCACATGGGACGTGTTAGCGCCAGCACGTCACCACATGTGACGTATTAGCACTAGCACTTCACATGGGACGTATTAGCACTAGCACGTCACAACATGGGACGTATTAGCACTAGCACGTCACAACATGGGACGTGTTACACTAGCACGTCACACAAGGACGTGTTAGCACTAGCACGTCACCACTTGGACGTGTTAGCACTAGCGCATCACAACATGGGACGTGTTAGCACTAGCACGTTACCACATGGAACGTGTTTGCGCCAGCACGTCACCACATGGGACGTGTTAGCACTAGCACGTCACCACATGGGACGTGTTAGCACTAGCACCTCACAACATGGGACGTGTTAGCACTAACACGTCACCACATGGAACGTGTTAGCACTAGCACCTCACAACATGGGACGTGTTAGCACTAACACGTCACCACATGGAACGTGTTAGCACTAACACGTCACCACATGGAACGATGTTATCAGGTTTAATGTTGGGATGGGACGATATTAAAATTATGGCCGATACCGATACCTCGGCACATCCCTAGTTTAATGCATAACTAATTTAATTAGAACAATTTATCTGGTGTCTCCTGAGAGAAGTCTTGTAGTGGCTGTGAAAATAAAAATTACTTAAGTAATTAATAGGATCATTGGCTTCTGCACAATATCTTTATAATGTCCCTCTGATCGGCGTCAGTAATGCAGTTCTTTTATTAGAGAAAGATTGGAATTGTCACTGGGATGTATGCGACGAATTTTGATAATTTAATTAGAGTACCTTTTTTTTTTTTACTCTAATGTATAAGCTCTAAAAATATTAACAAAATATTTATTGCAATTAGCACAATAACTTTAGGTGTTCTACATAACCCTAAGTAGGATTTTTTGGTAATTTTAATCTATATAAATAACAATTTGTAATTCTCTAACATACTTAAAAAATCTAAATAATTTGATAGTGTGCGATAACCAAAGAATGATGCGTTTGATTGGATTCAAACTTTCAAAGGTCGAGATTATTTAAAATGTTAACATTCATAGCTGGTATATTGCTTTTAGTACATTAAATTTAGTGTATTATTATTATAATCAAATGAAGTGCTAAACCGACAAGGGTCATACAGCGCTAAGGGGCAGAAAATAGTGCCAGGTCTATAAACAGCTAATTGGAGAGGGAATGACAAGTGAGGGAAGAAAAGGGCTGGAAGGGACGCTGGGGGATATATGTTGAAGGTCGTGTAGCAAAGCACTTGCTGACAGTCAAAAAGTGATCGGAAGTCAGTCAGAACCATCAGCAAGGAAGATATAGAGTGGTAGGACGATGGTGGAGGTAAGTCCTGCCAGCTCGCTGGTAAACTGGAGAACCCACAAGAAAGTGATCACCCAAAACAGCGACCCAACAAACCTCAGAGAGGAATAGGGTGTCGGTCCATGAGTAAGGCGAGTATGGCCGATGCTAAGATGGGAGAGCGCAGTCTCCTGAGTACGACGGTGGTTAAGAACACTGCCACTGTATTACCTATAGTGTAATATCTCTAAAGGAAGATTTCCATTGTTTTGGATTGTGTAAATAGAAATTTTCTAATTTATTTAAAAAAAATTTCATAATATTTTCTGTCATAACTTGTTAATGCTTCCTTTTTTATAACTTCAAAATGTCAATACTGGAATATCTTACTCAAAGAAATTTTAATGAGTTTATTCAGTTTTGTTGTTCTTACTTTTTCAGTTTAAATTGGTTTAGAAAGACACGTAAACAAACACTATAGCATATTTATTAGAAAACGTTTCGGTCCTGGGACCTTGATCACTTCAAGGTCCCAGGACCGAAACGTTTTCTAATAAATATGTTATAGTGTTTGCTTACGTGTCTTTCTAAACCAACTTGTCAGTATTTATTACCAAGGTTTATACCACAGTTTAAATTGTTCTTCTTTAACCGATTTAACTGGTATTTTAAGTTTTTTAACGACTTTGGACTTCTGTGATTCATTATGGTGTTGATCGAGAGCTCTTGTTCTTTTTGAGAATATTAATGCAAAATTCTGTGTTCGGTGAGGTGGTTGATCTGCAGTTCCAGTAAGTCTTGACGGTGTTGATTTCACCTCCTATACTCGGTGAAACAATTACACCTAGAGTAGATGTAGACTAGAAAGAGAGAGACACTTTCTTAAGGCGAAGGTGAAGAATCACAGCTGCTCAAAGTGGCCAGTCTACCTGACAGTGTGACTTCTGTAAGGTCCAAGACGGAACAAAACGCCATTATAAGCTTCTTTCCTATGTGTAAGTTATTTGTGTATGTTCAATACGGAAGTAGCCACTGGCCAGAGAAATAAAAAATATCAAACTTAAGCTTATGGAATCGTGCAGGAGCCAAGAAACAGAGGAAAACCTTCAAGCCATAAACGAAATCGAAAGAAACACACGATATTTTTTTCTCTTATGCTAAATCTATGGCAAAAACCACATCCTACTAGTATTGTGCCCTAACTTAAGGTGGGACTGATACAGATGACAGCAAGTAAATGAGTGAGCTAACGAAATCTCAATATGACTCAGCGTTTATTTAGGCTACAGTGAAAAGTTCTGTTCCACAAGGCACAGTACTCTCTCTCATCCATTCCTCATCCTCACATCTGACATAGACAGAGATATAAGCCACAGCACCGTGTCCTCTTTTGCTGATGATACCAGCATTTGCAAGACGGTGTCATCCTTTGAAGGCACTGCATATCTCCAAACGGACATCAACCAACTTTTTAAATGGGCCTCAGAAAACAATATAAAGTTTAATGAGGACAAGTTTTAATTACTCTACTATAAAAAACTCGAGGAAATAAAAATTGGATCGGAGTACAAAACAAATTCCTACCTCACAATAGAGCGAAAAACTAATGTGGAGGACCTGGGAGTGAAAATATCACAGAATCTTACTTACAAATACTTCAGCAATATCTCCAACACATCTGCTAGGAAAATAATAAAATGGATACCGAGAACCTTCAAAACTAGTGATGCCAAGCCAATGATTGTTTTCCAATCACTTCTCTCTAGGCTGGAGTACTGCTGTACACTAACAGCCCCTTTCAAGGTAGGCGAAATTGCAGACCTGGAAAATATACAGAGAACTTTTATTGCACGTATAAGTACAGTAAAGCATCTCAATTACTGAGAACTGGTGAAGTCCCTTGACCTGTACTCCTTGGAACGCAGGAGAGAAATATACATGATAATATACACTTGAGAAATCCTAAAGGAACAAGTCCTAAATCTACACACGGAAATCACTCCCTACGAAAAGATTCGGCAGGGATACCATGAGTGCACTAAGAGACAACGCAGTGTCAGGGACACAAGACTGTTTAACTTCTTCCCAGCATAAGGGGGATTACCAATAAATCCCTGGCTGTCTTCAAGAGGAAGCTGGACAGACACAAAGTCAATACCTGACCAGCCGGGCTCTGGTTCGTACGTCGGTTTGCGAGTGACCAGCAATAACAGCCTGGTTGATCAGGCCCTGATCCACTGTGAGGACTGGTCATGGACTGGGCCGTGGGAGGGGTTGACTTTCTGAACACCCCCAGGTCTACTCCAGGTAAAATTATTAAAATCATTCAGAGAAATTCAGACAACTCGTAACCTCTTCAAGTGAAGTGAGAAAAATTATACAGACATATTATTTTCACAAGGTCAGCCAACACTGCGACACAAACACTGAGTAGATAACTTTGACAAACCAAAAGTCTAAGTACGGGTCAGCAACATCCCATGCGCAGCATGTGACAAAAATTATGTGGAGATAACTTTGGAATGTCAGCTGTGGAGGGAAGAGAATGTAATCACTCATCACCAGATGATAATTTGACACTTCATTTCATTAAATTTTATTCTATAACCATGAGAAACACAAAATGCCAAAAAAATCCTATATGACATAAAATTAGGTTACACTAAATATATTAAGAGGAAAAGTGATAAAACCATGTGTTGGGCAACGTTTATAAGAAGCATTGACGTGATTACTAACGTCAATAAACACATTACACAGATAAATGGCATAATTACGGTAAGAAGGGTCAATGAAAGTCAATAAAATGTTTTAGAGTCAAAATTTAGCTAAGCATGACAATGTGCAGTGCAGCCAACTGACTTGTGTCATGTGAGGACCTGCATGGTAAACTTTGTTAAAGGTAAACAACTATGTCCTCTCTTGAGCAGCTGTACCGCGAGGTAAAGATGAAACCAGAAGAAACCAAGAGAGAGGGAGATACTGAGGCTGACTAAGGAGAACATGAGGATATGTAGCAAAGCCTATTTATCTTTACGATTAAGAAAGCGAAGGAAAAGAAAATTACTGGACAGTGGTTAAGAGGAGAGTCTACCAACTAAAGCATAGAAGAACTTAGGGTTCGGTGGGGTTTTGAACTCACTCGTTCTATTGCAGGATTAATGAAGATTATCGAAAATGGCAACGAACCAAGACAACGGTAAGGTGTTTAGGAGAAAAGATAAACGTAAGTTCATTATTACTATTGGTGATTATAAGGTACTTTATAAAGAGGACCTTCCGTGATAGGGACAGGAAAATAAGATTCGTATTGTCTCCCTGGTATGGGAATAGGGAACTTTGCAGACTATATGACCAATACACAAATAACCCACACATAGAAGAGAGGAGCTTACGACGACGTTTCGGTCCGACTTGGACCATTTACAAAGTCACACTAACGAAAAGGAGAGAAGGATGGAGTATATATTGGCAGGAGGTGGTAGTGGTAGCAGTGGAGGTAGAAGGTAGTAGCAGTGGGGAAGGTAGTAAGGAGGAGGAGGAGCCAGTCAAATACGTTATTGTGCCTTTTTTAGTTATATATGACCAATATTTTGTCTAGTTATGACAAAGTTGCCACTGGACCAGCTAGCTAGTCCAGTGGCATAACAAAAACTTACCGATAAAACAAAAAGTTACCGATATAACAAAAACTTACCGATATAACAAAAAAAGTTGGTGCAGAGAAATTTCCATACATTGCTTTCGAGCGGACTTTGACCATGACTGAGTAATTACCAGGCGAGAGGTAAGGCAGCTTGACTCTACGTCCCAGAGACTCGAATTCCTTCACGTTCACGCACCTCTCCATGGCCAGGCTCTTGAGGGAAATAATCAAGGTTCTATTTATCCTATTTCGTATGTGTTATAGTTCAAAATGTTCAACAAAATAATCAGTGCTTAGTCCTATGTAAGTACATGATTAGAGGGACAGGATGATGAGATAAAATGAGATTGTGGAGAGAGATAGAAAGGTATATGTATATGGATGGTAAATAATAACATTGTATAATTCTTCAGAAAGACTGACATGGATGCACAATAACAATAACTACATTGCTACCAAACACCCTTTTTTTTTATCCTATATGTAACTATCTTTTCATTACTTGATCAAAACAGTTGGATTTTTCCTCCATTAACTTGTATCAAATCTTACTGCTGTCCATTCCTGCCCCGAGCTGTGTGAATCCTATGCGTTTAGCGCTCACCAGTGTAATACTGCTACTACTACTATAACTACTACCAATACGAAAAATAATGACACTAATATTAACAGTAAGATAATATAATGAAAGTCACGACAATACAAGGAAGAAGACACAAAGGTAGTAAAATGGGATTCTTCATTGACAACGTTTCGCCCACACAGTGGGATTTATCAAGTTACAAACAGTGTTTCGCCCACACAGTGGGATTTATCAAGTTACGAACAATGTTTCGCCCACACAGTGGGATTTATCAAGTTACGAACAATGTTTCGCCCACACAGTGGGATTTATCAAGTTACAAACAATGTTTCGCCCACACAGTGGGATTTTTCAAGTTACGAACAATGTTTCGCCCACACAGTGGGATTTATCCAGTTACAAACAATGTTTCGCCCACACAGTGGGATTTATCAAGTTACGAACAATGTTTCGCCCACACAGTGAGATTTATCAAGTTACAAACAATGTAGACAGCCTGTACTGTCTGCACAGACAGCCCATGCTGTCTGCCAGCTTAGTTCATATTTCGTGCCACTCAAGTGCTGCCACCTATAGGCCTTGTCACTTCAGTATGCCCAGACTTGCCTCGCTCTCACTCACACAGCGGCCTAGCAGGAAGACACAAGTACTCCCAGCCAGTAGGTGGGTTACACACACAAGCCTGTGTAACCCACCTACGACTTAACAATAAAGTAAGAAGCCTCCGAAGAAGTATATCATTCACAACCCGCTACCATACTACCAAACAAATCCGTTATAAATGGTGACAGCGGTGCTTGCAGCAGTTGTGTTTGCCTGGAGAGAGGGAGGAAGAGGTATGAAGTCATCTTCACTTCATCATCCCATACAAGAAGCATCCGTCTCTCAACGAGTTATCTTGATGTCGTGTCTGCACTTTTGAGCATCCAGACACAGGTACTAGCAGGATCCAGCCGAAATTTGTAGAAAATCTTCGAGAATTGTGAGTCGCGTCACAGTGACCCCACGCTACAGCGTCCCACGCTACAGTGTCCCACGCTGTTTCTCAAGTCACGTGTTCAGCGTCACTTGTATGTTGCTGTTGTTGTTCAGCTCAGCACAGCTGTTTCAGCAAGCCAGAGGTGAGTTTTGTGGTGATTTCTGAGTCCAGTGTGAGCTTCTCCACGTGTTTGTGGGTGGAGGAGGAGGAGGAGGAGGAGGAATGGCTAGATGCTCGCCCTGCCATACACTCACCCACGCTCCTCGCCACCACACTACCATACACTCACCACTGCCCACTCCCTCTGCTGTGTTTTCTGCTGTTTTTCGTGTGAATTCTTTGCCAGTGCTGTGTATCCGAGTGCCCAAGGCCACTCGAAGCTGCGTGGATCAGCATGCCACGTAGATCACGACACCACGTGGATCGACACCACGTTGGGTGTGGCCGATGTCACATAGACCTACAAAGCCACGCGAGTTACCAGATGTCCCAGGCCACATGCTGTGGTCTGCTGCCCGCATCACATTGACGTCACCCACGATGCTGCCCGACTTCATGACGTCACCTCGAGATGTCTGCTGACGTCACCTCGAGATGTCTGCTGACGTCACCTCACGATGTCTGCCTGACGTCACCTCGAGATGTCTGCTGACGTCACCTCGAGATGTCTGCTGACGTCACAGTGCTGCTGACGTCACCTCGCGACATCACGCCTGACATCACATGTCACATCGAGTGTTTCTAGTAATTATTTTAATATTGTCGAGAAGATTGAGAGAAAATATATGTCGTGTTTTAATTAATTCCTCTCAGTCAGTGTTCTCACATTTTAGTATGTCTTAGTCAGTTTTATGCACAGAAAAGTATCATTTGCTAGTTTAAGCCATGTTGTACGGCAGTGTGTTTTTAAAGTTTCCGTGTGTCCAGTGAGGTCTGGGCCAGCCAGACCTGAGTAGCACCACTGTGTTAAGTCACCTGTGTGACCAGTGTGTTTGACAGCTGATTACTCAGCCCTGAGCGTATGAGCCCTCTTGTACAGAAAGCTTTTATGCTCGTCGCTCGTGATGTTCTGCAGAATCGTACCTGCTACGATTCCCATCGAGATTTGTTTCACTTCACCTCCAGACCTTCAGAGTGCAGTTATATGTAGAGAAACAAGTCTGGGGACGCTTAGGCTAACCTCTGCTATAACTCCAACTGTCGAGAGATGATATTCGTCAAGCCGCAGCCAGGCCTGTCGGCAGGCGCTGTGTCAGCCTCGTGTCACAAGCTTCAGTGAGCAGCCTGCACAAAGATGATGTCACTTTGACTGCTAGCTCGCTCACTGCAGTCTGGTGTATGATGTTACGACTCCCAGATGTTTCGCTCAGTCGTCTCTGCCACGACTCGCTCCACAACTCGCTCCACGCTCGCCGGCAGTGACAGCCCAGCGACAGTACCAGTCGAGAAGTGTCCTCCTGAGTTGCTTGCCAGAAGTCCTGCCAAGTTGCCGAGTTTTGTCGACGCCTCACTCGAGGGCACCAGCATGTCGTGCCCTAGGTTGAGTGAAAACCTGCAGCGACTCCTACGATGACTGCTTCACCAGAGGAGACCGTACCCTGTTATGTCACAGCTCAGCCGCAGAGATGTCTCCCGTGTTGCAGTACCTGTCCAGACGCAGGAAGGCGTGCAGTGATGCCCTTCGATGCTCATTGCCTTTGACCACGATGTTTAGTTTAGCACACCCCATGTTTTTTCTTACCTCCCTGTAGGAAGTTTTTTTTCCATGTCCATATGTATATATATGTTTTTATTTTGTGTTCTGTGCCCTGTTCCTACGAGAGAGAGACAGAGTTTCTTTTACTACCAGTATTGTCGCGTCGGGACGACGTACAGTAGGTGGCCGAGCGTATGTAGACAGCCTGTACTGTCTACACAGACAGCCCATGCTATCTGCCAGCTTAGTTCATATTTCGCGCCACTCAAGTGCTGCCACCTATAGGCCTTGCCACTTCAGTATGCCCAGACTTGCCTCGCTCTCACTCACACAGCGGCCTAGCAGGAAGACACAAGTACTCCCAGCTCTCTCTCGTGGGATGGCCCTGCCCGGGCCATGGGCACACACACACAAGCCTGTGTAACCCACCTACGACTTAACAATAAAGTAAGAAGCCTCCGAAGAAGTATATCATTCACACCCCGCTTACAGCCTATGAAATAAACCCGTTGTAACAATGTTTCGCCCACACAATGGGATTTTTCAAGTTACAAAAAATGTTTCGCCCACACAGTGGGATTTATCAAGTTACAAACAATGTTTCGCCCACACAGTGGGATTTATCAAGTTACAAACAATGTTTCGCCCACACAGTGAGATTTATCAAGTTACAAACAATGTTTCGCCCACACAGTGGGATTTATCAAGTTACAAACAATGTTTCGCCCACACAGTGGGATTTATCAAGTTAAAAACAATGTTTCGCCCACACAGTGGGATTTATCAAGTTACAAACAATGTTTCGCCCACACAGTGGGATTTATCAAGTTACAATGTTTCGCCCACACAGTGGGATTTATCAAGTTACGAACAATGTTTCGCCCACACAGTGGGATTTATCAAGTTAAAAACAATATTTCGCCCACACAGTGGGATTTATCAAGTTACAAACAATGTTTCGCCCACACAGTGGGATTTATCAAGTTAAAAACAATGTTTCGCCCACACAGTGGGATTTATCAAGTTACAAACAATGTTTCGCCCACACAGTGGGATTTATCAAGTGACAATGTTTCGCCCACACAGTGGGATTTATCAAGTTACAAACAATGTTTCGCCCACACAGTGGGATTTATCAAGTTACAAACAATGTTTCGCCCACACAGTGGGATTTATCAAGTTACAAACAATGTTTCGCCCACACAGTGGGATTTATCAAGTTACGAACAATGTTTCGCCCACACAGTGGGATTTATCAAGTTAAAAACAATGTTTCGCCCACACAGTGGGATTTATCAAGTTAAAAACAATGTTTCGCCCACACAGTGGGATTTATCAAGTTACAAACAATATTTCGCCCACACAGTGGGATTTATCAAGTTAAAACAATGTTTCGCCCACACAGTGGGATTTATCAAGTTACAAACAATATTTCGCCCACACAGTGGGATTTATCAAGTTACAAACAATGTTTCGCCCACACAGTGGGATTTATCAAGTTACGAACAATGTTTCGCCCACACAGTGGGATTTATCAAGTTACAAACAATGTTTCGCCCACACAGTGGGATTTATCAAGTTAAAAACAATGTTTCGCCCACACAGTGGGATTTATCAAGTTACAAAAAATATTTCGCCCACACAGTGGGATTTATCAAGTTACAAACAATGTTTCGCCCACACAGTGGGATTTATCAAGTTACAAACAATGTTTCGCCCACACAGTGGGATTTATCAAGTTAAAAGCAATGTTTCGCCCACACAGTGGGATTTATCAAGTTAAAAACAATGTTTCGCCCACACAGTGGGATTTATCAAGTTACAAACAATGTTTCGCCCAAACAGTGGGATTTATCAAGTTACAAATAATGTTTCGCCCACACAGTGGGATTTATCAAGTTACAAACAATGTTTCGCCTACACAGTGGGATTTATCAAGTTACAAACAATGTTTC